TTGTGTTAAATACCCGACAAGCCGACTAAATTCGTAATAAAACCGACAATAACTTGAAAATCACCTTCTTTAGGGGATGGAGGGAGGGGGTGAGCACACCACCCCCGTAAATTCGCCTCTGATTACGTTTCACGTCTTTTTGACATTTCAGTTATTTTTTTCTAACTATTTTTTTTTTCATTAGAAGATTTTAATAAACCTTTAGACATCCATAGAATCAGGAGTGACTTGGTAACAATTTATTTCACAATAAATGCCTTTTCATATTGCTTACAAAAAACTTAATAAATAGTTCATAGGCATTATTTGTCTCACTCGATTCCATTATAAGATCTAAATCAACGTTATATTTTAAAAATTCTTGGAATTTTTGTAAGCAGTTTTTATTGATTTACCGCTTGTATAAGGTAAAGTGAAGTAAAGTAACATTAACTCAATATTAAATCTTCTAATGAAGAATTTAGTTGGTTATCTAATATTATTGATAGATAATTAATTATATTGTTGAGGTTCAACTGTCAATGTAACCCCCTATATGGGATAACATTGACAGTACTATGTTTTATGCTGAAAATGTTAAAGTTACATCATGAGTGGTAACGTTATAATTGGAATATTGACAAACAAATTAGAGAAATTTATTATAGCACCAACCTACACTTTGGTTTTAAAAATAAGCAGCATTAAAAAGTTGTAAAATTTGCAATGAAAATGTAATGTTATATTATTTTTTGAACAATATCAATTAGCTTTAGTTCTGATAATGTCTCAAGATAATTTTTTATATTTTCAGGTTTTGATGTTACGTTCTTACCAATATTATGCAACATTGTTAGGTGTGGATTTTAACTTTCTGCAAGTGTTTTAGATATGTTGACATTTGATGTATGGTAGATGAGGGTAGTATGAGCTCCTTGGGAATATAAGCATTTTTTAGGATTTCTTAGATGTAACAAGTTGCTTTATACTTTTTGAATCGACTTTATATACTGATAACAGGAATCAGTACAATTAGCGTAAATTTATATGCAGTTATAATTATATTATATACAATTATATATACAATTATAAGCAATTAACGGCAATAATCTTATTAAAACGCTGTTAAATTTTTTGCGTTGTTAAAATAATATCATTACGCATGAACAAATCTGTGTCGCGAATTTCGGTGCTAAAATAATGAGATTAAATTTTTCATAAAGAAAAGTATGTTAGCTAAAAATCCAATCCGTTTTTTATTTGAAAAACAATGCATTGAAACATTTTTTTAGCTTTGACTTTATTAAAAGATCTCATTTTTGTGTAGTATGAGCATGTTCAAATTGCCCAGTGTTTATCATTCAAATTACCTAGTTTAAAGTCCTATAATTACCTAGTTTAAAGTCCTAAAATTACCTAGTTTAAAGTCCTAAAATAGCAATGGTTTTAATTGCTTTTTGAATAAAAACAAAACATAGTAAAAAAATTTAATATTCTAACAATACTAAATATTTTTCTACAAATCATTATATTTTTAAAAAATTTTCTACAAATCAATATATTATTAAAAATTAGTTCTAATTGTCAGGTTGGCATTTTTTTACATATTTAATGTTATTTTTTCAAAGCTAATTTAAAGTGCTCCTATTACCAAGTGGTCATGGTAATATGAGCACTTTTGCTACTTTTTTAAAACCTCTGTGTTTTTAAGAAAAAATTTCGGGTACTCAAATGTTTAAGTGGATCATGAGTAGGCATCCCTTAAAATTGTTTATTCCCAAAAATTTTAGATCCAGCGTAATTATTTTTGAAAATATTCCAATTTTCGTTTATGATGCTCATATTACTCTAATCAACCTATTGGTAAATTTAGTTTTTTAGAATTTCTCATTTAATTTAGGGGTTGCTTTGTTTAATTCCATTTTATGTAGTTGTAAAAGATTCATCAGATATTTAACATTCTGCCAACTTTTTCTTGATTCATGGCCCATGTGGGGTGACATAAGCATTCCTGTCAATGTTATCCCAAAACTAAAATAAACGCTCAAAGGAAAAAAAAATGATACAAAAAAATGTTAAATGCTTAGTATTACGAAATGACATAAAAACTCATGTAAAACAATATTATATTATGGTTTTACTTTTCTTTGGATTAAAGTTTTTCAGCAACAAAAAAACTAGAAATTACTTTAACTTATACGCTCCGTATAGTGTTGTTATTTATACTTACTATTATGTGGATAAAAATAATTACATTTATTCATTTAACATCTTGCTACAACATCTAAATAATTTAAACAACAGTCGACGGGTGACGGGTAAAAACATTAATACATTCCAATTTTACCCACATGTACCTCGTTTCCCTGCGTTACCTTATAATAGATTTATGAATAAATATTATTAGAGGTGACCCGGATAAGCTATCTGGGCCGTATAGGAGTATTATTCGATATACGATATCAGGCCGGATAATAACTTTGTCCGGTTTTTTATTTATCGGATGTTAATGTCATTTAAAATTGAAAGAAATCTACAAATGTTATATTTTAAATAATCTAATGTTAATGGTTTCTATTCTATATACGCGCAATAAATACATCAGTTTATCTCTCATTTATATTTCTTTTACCTCCACATAAAGGAATTAACATCTCTAGCCTCGATCGCTTTTTCTCATAAATAATGAAAACAATCTTCCGAAAGTATAGAGGATGCATGTGGTACTAGTAGCTTAGTTGCTAACTCTAAGTTACTAGCACCACATGCATCCTCAGTATGATGCAAGTAACTTAAGTGCTAACTTTAAAAGTGGAAACTTCCCTTAAAAACGTCAATATTTTTTTATATAATCGAGTGATCAACTCCTATAGCAGCTTTTAAAAAAAGAGACTTTTTGAGTTCAATAGAATTTGAACTTCCTTGGACAGCTGAAGCAGCTGATTCAATATATATATATTTGCTTCTTTAAATAATATACAATAAAATTTTGCGTGATTATGCAGTGGAGTTCTGCAAAACGAGGAGGTATAATAGCTTGCATTTAAATCGCGTTACAGTCTTTGTAGTATAATTATTCCAGAAGCAAGTCAAAATTGTGCTTTTGCAAAAAAATAAAATTTTTTGAAATGTAATCAGTAAGCTTTGAGAGTTGTAATCGAAATGGATTAATAAAATAAAAGTTTGTTGGATATGTTTTTAACAGCTATTCATATCAAGAAGTTAATTAAAACAAAAATCACGATTAAGATGAAGTAATTGTTTCTTGTGTACCTCAATTATAGGTATAAATATCAAAGTTTTAGACAACTCCTACTGCCTATTTTAACCTTATTTTTTGCTTGCCTGTTCAGCTATAGGTGAGTTATTTTCATTCCATGCTTATTTGCTTTCCGCATGGAATAAATATTGCTGTGAAATCACATCAATCATTAATTTTGAAAACTTTCCAGACCAAACTCGCCATTTTGAAAGTTTATCACGGTAACATTTTGTCATTATTGAATACATATTTCAGGATTTTAATTACATTTTCCGGCCGGATAATTTTTAAATATCCAGTTGTATAATAAAAAAATGTGGGACACACCTAATTATTATAAATTGTTATAATTTAAGTTATTAAAAAATAGGAAAATGACCTGATATGTCTGTCTTAATTATAACAACATAGTCAAACAACAGAAATCTGTGAAAACAGTTTTTGTAAAAATCGTTAGCGAGTATGTTATCTTGAAAAGAAAATTTCATAGTTATTCTGATTGGAAATAACATTATATTGAAGAAATTAATCTATAAAATGTTTAACTTTGAAACTTGTCTCGAAAAAACCAAATTAACCTTAGGCTGCTTGATAAAATTAAAAGATGTTTAGAAAAATTCAGCTAAAAAAAAAAGAAAATGGAAAAAAAAACAATTTTGAGATTTGTATGCCATTTTTCATTTTATAACATCTACAAAATTTATAAACAAAAAAATTTAAGCTCTCATTGTATAATTAATGAATGATGTTTGGAACAACAATAATTTTTTGCAATGAAGGTCAAAATTTTAAAGATTAGTTTTAAAAGCCACGATCGTGACTCGCCGCACTTCAACGAAAATGCCACGATCGTGGCTTGCCGCAGTCAAAGGGTTAACACTATATAAGCTGAAGGAAATTATTGAGAAAACATTTATATACGTGCATCTTCATATGAAATAAACATACACGCAGCCGTGGCGCAGTGGTTAAAGTTCTGGTTCAGAACCCAGAGGTCCAAGGTTCGTCGTCTGCTCTAGCCAAATAAAAGATATTAGTACAAAAAGGAGGCGCAAACTCCCTAATTAAATGCTCTTCCGCGGTGCTATATGGTGAGAATGTGCTTAATAACTAAAAAAAAAAAAAAAAAAAAAAACACATCAACACATATTATTTGTTTTGAATTAAATAGATAGTAAAATTGATATCTGGTGTCTTTAAACACAAAATTTATTTTTTTTTTTAAATTGCAAAAAAGCGTGTGATTTAAAATAACGTGTGATCTTTAAAATTATCTTTTAAAATGATAAACAAATAATGGTAATTATGTTTAAATACCAATAAGCAATAACTCCACAAATAAACTATATTAATAAATTAACAATAAATATAAAATGATTCTTTATACGTTATTAAATTATTTTCACGATAATTAAATGATTACAAATACTTAAATAAAAAAAATAAAATAGTAAATTGTATATCATTAATACGAGTAAAATTGTATATCATTAATACGAGTAAATTGTAAAAAGTAAATTGTATATCATTAATACGAGTAAAAAAAAGTAAATTGTATATCATCAATACGAGCCAATTCAAAAATCGTTTTGTATGGAAACTGGATATCACAGTTTTTATGACGCAACGAGATCAAAACGGTAATATAGAAATGTATTAACGTGTTATTTTATTTAACGATTAACGTGTTAAAATTTAACAATTAAAATTTAACAATTAACGTATAAAACGTTTTTGGATCGTTGGATCGCCTTTTTTAAATACAAATTTTAGTAGAATTTTAATTAAAAAAATTATTCAGAGTGTCCACTTTACTCTTTGTATCCATGAATCGCCTTCAAGCTTTCGGAAAAACAGTCCTTCAGCGTTTCCTAAACATTCGACAAAACCACAATAATGATGATATAAATATTATAAATAATATTTATATCATCATAAATATTATTTAACCTAATATTTTTTACCTAACCATTGATATGGCCCAAGAGTATAAATTTGTTCATTATCGCCTTCTAAATTTTTTACAAAAGTTGAATTGAGTTGGTTGAAAACGTTGTTTAAAAACTGCTGATTGGTTATTGCCAACCATTTCTTGTAGTAATTATGAAACATTAAATACATTTTTCTATTTCGATGAACCGCGTAAAGTTTTTTTGTTGCCGAGTGGCAACCGAGAACGGAACCAACACGAATATCCATAGCTAGAAAAAAAAACAAAAAAACTAGTATATTCGGATAAATAAATTAGATAAATAAATAGATAAGGATAGATCAATAAAAAAGGCAGAAAATTTTTTCAATAAGATTTTTTCAATAAGTTCAATAAAAATATCAGCTAATGGTCGAAATAATTTTCTGCAATAAACTAATTTTTAAAATATGTAGTCAATTTATTTCGCTCTCCTTTATGCACGTGTTGTTGGTGCTGGCCACACGATTTGAAACACATGGTTTTGTTACTGGTAACACATTTTAAAAACTTTAGTATAATTTCACCAATTTTTACAATTTTTAATACAAAAAACCATATTTAAATCTCTACAATGGGGATTGTTGGGAAAGTTAAAGTTTTTTAAATTGATATTTGTCGAAGCATTTTTGATAATTTAACTTTATATTCTTATGGGCATTTGCTTTTCAAAGTTACGTTTTAAATATCTCTTAATGTCTTCTAAATAACTTAATGTAAATACGTTTAGAAGTAGGTTAAAAAACGTTTAAAAGACATTTAATCGTTCCCATTCAATGGCAAAAACATTTAATCGTTGCCATTCGGCAAATTACACATTTACTTTCATTTTTCAACTTAAATCAGAATTTAAATCAGAAAAAAGGGTTTTCTTGGGGTCACTGAAGGCTCTCTAAATTAAATAGTTCTTAAATTATATTTATTTTAATACTTTCTAAAAACAAAATTTTCAAAGATAATTCTAATAGTAAAACTATATTAGAATAAAAAAATAAAACTAAGAATTAAAAAAATCAAATCACCTGTCCATAAATATCCTTCATCGTCAGAAAAATAACAAACAGGTTTTGTACTAAATTAAATACTTAATGTTTAATGTGGTATTTAACAAACAGAATGACACAGAACAAAACTTGTTTTAAATGTTTCAATATTCAATAATAAATTAACCTAAATTTAATTATATACTTCAAAAACAACTGATAAACTAACTTTTACCATATAACTAAATTAAACACAAGATCCTATGGGGCAGGGTCTTAGAGCCCAGGAATACTCTGAGACCCATTTCTTTATCTTATGTTTCTAATAAGTGTTAGAGATGAGTTGTTATAAAATAGTTTAAAAGAAGTTAACTTATGTGAATTCTAGTTCAGTAAATTAAAGCACAACATATTATTATATTTTTGATTATGCTTTCTGACTTAAAGTTTGTAGTTCGCCTACAAAACAAAAACATGAACAAAAGAAGAAAAAAATTAGTATTATAATTAAATAATTTTCAGAACCGTTAACTAAATAGTAAAGGTAAATATAACATGCCAATAGCTATTGCAATACCAATATATATTGAAAAATCATAGAGTATCATATTGATTTATTTTCAGTAACATTTTAAATAATTTTATAATAAATTGGTGTCAAAATTTTCTATAAATTATAACAAACACTTTTTAAAACATTCTTAATTGTAAAAAATTTATATATAGCTTTGTTTCAGGCGTGATCAATAACTTTCTTTGATAATCTTTAGTATTATTTTCTGCTTTTTTTATTTTATTGGTGATCTTTACAGTAACTTCTCAACATCTATCTAATGCACGATAAAACCTATCGGTTACTAAGGTTAACAAATCAGCATTAAAGCAAGAAGACCGAAATTCATATTGATGATCAGAAAGTAATTTATTAGATTCAAGATGAGAGATTAAGTGTTTTTAATTAAAGACTCAAAAAGAAAGAAGGCCAGTTGTATGCCTTAATGCCTGCAGAGTCACTGGCACTAAAGCCATTCAGTATGATAAGCATTAAAGTCACCAACAACAACAATATTGGCTGAATGATAAAGAGAAAGGGCTTGGTCGATTTGATTAGAAACAACATTGTAAAGAGTGCAGTCTTGAAAAGGAGAGCGATATAGAACAAAGAGAAATGTATTAGAGTAAAGTGGTGCTAAATGAAAGCACATAAAATAATAGTCTGTGGATTAAAACTTAGTTTCCTGTCAAATATTTGAATTCTCACGATTGTAAATGCCCAGGCCTAAATTGTGACTGTTGGAATGTTTACGAATTAAAGGAAGATAACCATCAACACTAAGATCACAAGATGAGACAGCTGAACTCAAATTAGTCTCACAAAGAGCAAGTAGGTCTGATAAACTTTGCAACAGAGTAAAAGTTACTTTGAAGACCACAAATATTAGTGAATGATAGATTTAGAGAACTTTGTGATGACAATAGTTTTTTGTGTTTTAAAGTTTTTTGTACTTTAGTCATTTTAAAATTTGTTAAAGAACTTGACTCAAAGCACAGATAGTACTCAGTACACTATTTAATAGTCCAAACAATCGCCTAATTACTATTAATAAACCCTAAACTGTAACAAAGGGTTCCAAATTTGCTTAACAATGCACATCAAAAGTACAGCTGTTGATAGAATGAGTCTCTCTTACAGCTATGACAGAGCTCAGGAAACCTGACTACCACCCGTCCTCAGAACCATAAAACTGAGTTTTAGAGCTGTACCCTCATTAGCAGATAATAGAATGAGTTGCCTAGTCATAAAAACAGAGACACAAGCAAAACCCTAGATGAAGAATTCTAATAGATGAAGAAGATAAAGAAGATTAATTGGTTTATTGATAATTTATATTATTTTAATTTATATTAATATTGATAAATTGTTTAGTAAATAAATTGATTTTTGATATAACATCAAATGATAATCCAAAAATAGGTATGGGTGTTTTTAAAGGTTTTGTATTTCATTCCATTAAAATTTGTTCCACAAAGTATCTTAATGATGAAATACAGTTTTTAGTAAACATGTTTGCAGAAAATGGACACAATAGATTAAAGCTTGAACAACTGCAAAGTACTATATTCAGAAAAGAAACAACCTTTCTAATATAAAAAAATTATAATAAAACAGAAACAAGTAATTATACAATTAAGCTTTCCAAGGTCCAAAACTTAGAAAAGAACTTAAACCTTAAAACGCCAGAATAATTTTTACTACACCACCTTCATTAAAAAAGATCTTGCAACAACAAGTCAAAAGTAATTTCCATAGCTATCCCGGTGTCTGCAAACTCACATGCTCTTGTGGCAGTATATACATTGGCAAAACAAATAAGCAAATTTTAACAAGATGCATTGAACAACAAAAAAACTATTTAAAGAGTAAATGGGATGCTTCTGGGGCAACCGAACAGGTAGAATATGTATTGGTATGTTTGATTGGTCCCAAAACTCTAGAAATAAAATCAGAGTATGATGGACTCAAAGTGAGAGAATCACTCTAAATTAACTACGCCTCTACGTACCAAATAAAACATGCTCCTATACTTCTAAACTGTGACAATAGTGTTAAAATATCTACAAACAGTTGTAGACCTCTGTTTAAAAAAATGATCCAAAAAAAAATTAAATAATACTTTCTTATTTACATTTAGGTTGTTATGTAATAATTTATGGCTTCTTTTTAATGTCTTTTTTGAATGTAAAACTTGTAACAGTTTTTTGTATTATTTTTTATGTCTGGTGATGATCTGTGCAAAAACAGTTTCAAATATTACAAAGAAAAATTTTTGAATGCAGTTTAATTTTACTGTGAGCATATATTCAGCAAGAGTGCTCGATGAATGATATCAGAGCTATATAATTGATTTTTTGACAAGATTAAATAAAAAATAACTACATAATTTTTACTACTAAAGGTTTTATACGTTTAGCAATCATCAGGTAAAAAATACACGTATTTTAAAAAATAAATATATGTATGTATTAATGTAGTTATTCATAAGAAGATTAATGTATTATATTATATATATAATACATTGTATTAATGTAATTAATATTATTAATTACATTAATACAATGTATTAATGTAACTAATAATACTAATTATTAATTACATTAATACATTGTATTAATGTAATTAATAATATTAATTACATTAATACAATGTATTAATGTAATTATTCATAAGAATAATTTGTTTTGATACATTTATGTTTAATACAATTATTCAAGTGATTAATTTTATTTGATATATTTCTCAACATTAATTTGGTTTTATAAAATCGCAGATCCCCATGCTCACAAATGCTGGCAGCTTTAAACAAATGAACTACTGCTGTAAATAACAAAAAAAATAGTTCACATCATCTATATAGATTTTGAAAAAATATTTGACTTGCTAACTCATCCTAACCTAATATTCAAATTACAATACTATGGTATTAAATACAAACTGTTTAATTGGATTAAATTAAATAAATTTTTTTAAATTTTTAAAATTTAAAAAAATAATGATAAATTTTTTTTTTTCACAAAAAAAAAATTATATTTTTATCTCAAGAACTGTCTTTTTATTTCTCACATGAATATTTATATTTTTTTCTCTTTGGAATTATTTTGTATGGATATATTAGCTATTGTTGTTGTTTTTTTTTGTTTTGTTTTTTTACTTTCTTCACCATCTTCCCTTCCAACAAGGCTGCAAGCAACCAATATTAAAGATGGAAGTTACTGGAAGAGAAAAGATGAAGTTTATAGAGCAAAATAACAATTGACAGACAACTAGTATTGAAAATTATAAAGTATTGAAAATTATATGAATTAGGAAAACAAGATGAAGGAAGCGAATTCCAAATAACTGATGTTTGAGGAAAAAAAACTAGATGAATAAGAATTTTAAGAGCACTTAGGAACAGTCACAGTAAAAGGATGAGACTTACCAGAATGATAAGTAACACAAGAATGAATTTTAGTAGATGGTACAAGAGAAGCTAACTCTTTAGAGCAGTGTCCATTATAGTATTTATAGAAAATAGAAAAAGAAGCAACATTACGACGATGTGATAATGGTTGGAGGTGAGCTGCAAGAGCAAGTGCAACTATGTTTACAATGTGTTTTTGCACCTAAGATAGAAAGGGCATCTTCTAAGAGAGAAAGGGCATTATTTAAAGATCCACCCCAGATATGGCAACAGTATTCCATAAAAGGACGGATTTGAGATTTATAGCGATAAAGAATAAAATCTGGAGTAAGTGGTGAGCACGGTATGATGTAATGTATGATGCAACCTTAGCAGATAACAATTTTACAATTGACTTTTTATATGGCTTCCAAGAAAGATCCGAAGTATGAGCTAATTGCTTTTTATATATTTCCGTTATATTTTTATACGTGAATGGAAACCATTTATACTTATATCACCTTTAATGATTATGATCCAGATTCTATTTGCTATAAGTATCAATTTTCAGCACAAACAACAGCTATAATAGTTATTTAATTGCCAACTTTGGTATTAAAAACAGTTAAAACAATTGAAAGATTTTATCAAGAGTTTGTCACAGAAAAGTTCCTATAAGATATATCAAACAGAGAGAGCTAACATATTTGACATAACTAGGTTTTATGACCTGTTTCTGTGTCCTCTTTTGCTTTTTATGAGAAGATTTTATTCTATTATAGCCTTAAGTTATTAAAAACACCAGGAAAAATGTTACACAACTGTCATTTATGTTAAAGATTATGTAAAATATATTACAGTTTTATGTAAAATATATTAGAGTTAAGAAGTTAATGGTTGGTGTTGAATAGAACTATCAAGACTCGTATTTTACGGGTCCGAACCGCCGGTATATTATTTACGGGTCCGAACCGCCGGTATATTATTTACGGGTCCGAACCTCCGGTATATATTATTATTTAGTGCAATAAAACAAAATGTAGGAATAATTAGTGTTGATACAATTATAAAAATTATTACCTGATTCGTGTCTAATAAAACCTTATACTTTCATAAATACATTATTATATTTTTTTCATGCATTGTTCCACATAAAATGGTGGGGCCATTTAATAACACAGAAAAACATTTTAGCAAAAAACACAAATTTGAACCAAAACAAATTTAACTTCAAATTTAAAGTTATAACTCTATACCTGGGATAATGTTGACTCATACATACATATATATGATTGTTATATTCATCCCAATATATTCCTCGCCCATAGCTTTCTATATATTAAAGAACACAAAAAGTTTTGAAAAAAAACCCCACTAAACTGTAACTATAAACTTTAAAACAAATTTAGTGATCATAAAACAAATAAAAAAAACCTTCAAGAAATTGTTGATTTGGACTGACTGGTATTTTTGGATTGTTGAAACATCTAATTTGCTTTTTAAATGTTCTAACTATTCTCTCACGTTTTTCTGTTTCAACATGGAGTGACAACATCAGTGGAATTTCTAATATAAATACACCAGAGATTGGACACAGCGAGTTGTTATAAGTAGCAGTAAAATTGTAATTAAATGAATCCAAATAAGTAAAATTTCCGTTAAACTAAATTAAAAAAAAAAAATCATTTAATATCATGAAAAATTATTTTAGTAATAAGGTGAAAAGCAGTGATAACAATCTCATTATTTAAGAAAGTGGTGTATAATAATATATAGCATATGTAATAATATATTATTTCTATGCAATAAATTATAAATTATTTATTTAAAAAATTTTTTAAAAGTTAAGAAAAATTAAATTAAAAAAAAAAAAAAATACAGAAAAAAATACAGTCCATTTAATGAACATAAAAATTTATTTAGTCATGAGGTTTTAAATTAGTCATGAGGTTTTAAAATAGTCATGAGGTTTTAAAAAGCTACATCTTTTTTAAACACCATTATTATACTTTTTATTTATTAAACTTTACAGAGAAAAAATGTTTTGTTGAATCTTAAGGGATACTCCTAATCTTTGTTTAAAAAAAAAACTTCTAACTTCTTGCTAGATACTTCATGGGAAATTTTAAACTCTTGCTAGACTTTTTTAAAATTCCTAACTCCTTGGAAGATACTTCATGTGATATTCCTAACTCCTTGCTAGATACATTATGAAATATTCCTAACTCCTTGCTAGATACTTCATGTGAAATTCTTACCTCTTGGTAGATATAGATTTTTGTAAAGTTCCTAACTCCTTGCTAGATACTTCATGTGATATTCCTAACTCCTTGCTAGATACTTCATGTGAAATTCTAATCAGTTTTAGCTGATTTTCCACAATTACGCCAACTTAAATACTTCTTATTAAATTTAAATATTTTATTAAAAACTTTATTTTTTTTATTTCCATTTTAGAGAGATAATAGTGATAAATAGTGGTAATCTTATCAAGAAACAATAAATGAAAGTCCTTTTTGTCATAAAAAGAGCCTAATGACTTATGTTTACTTTACATTGTTAGGAAATAAATAGCTTAAAAAATATAATCACAATAACATTGTCAGCTGAAGCAATTGAGGTTTTAAGTAAAATGCGCAAACATGTTGCAATGTAAATAATTTATTTAAATTTATTTTTCAAAAATATTTGGTTGAATTTGTGAATCTGTTAGTCCAATTATAATTAAATATAATGTCTAAAAGATAATTTTTTTTTTCATTTCTATTGTCTTACATAACTTAGATTAGATCCTGACATTTAATATAGTGAAACTCTTACTACTAAAATTCAATTCCAATTAACTATAATTAATTTAAATTTTTTATACTTAATTATTTAAAAACAAAAAAAAAAAATAACTTACTGAATACTTAATTTGATTGGCTTGAGTCCTAACAAAGCCTTGAATAACACCATCAGATGTAAACATAAAAAATGGCGGCAAAAAATATTCAAACTCTAACTTAACATTTGACGGTTTAATGAATGTTGGATAAATTTGTAAGTTTAGTAAAGTCAAATTTCTAAAAGTAGAAACTAAAAGGTAAATTAAAATTGAAAAAAGTAAAAATAAAAACAAAAAAAAAACTTTTCTTGTTTTTTAACTTATTTTTAAATGAGTTTAAAAATGAGAAAAAAAAGTTAATATAATTTTAAATATTTTAAACTTATTTTTAAATGAGTTTAAAAATAAAGAAAAAAAAGTTAAATATTTTTATCCTTCAAAATATTTTTCAAAAATGTTGATTAAAAATGTTGTTATCCCTATTATAATTTCTTGTTTCATCACAAAAAGTATTGAATTTCTGAAACTTGAAACATTTTAATGGCAACTAAAAAAAATAATTTTTAACAAAATTTAAACATACCCTTGCATAGAAACTGTGTTAAAAACATTCCACAATGGAGCTTAAAATATATCATTAAGAAGACAATTATTAACAAATATTATTTAAACAAACATACCTAAACTACTATTGGTTAACATTCATAAAATAATATCATAGAAAACAATATACTGAACAAAGCTTTGATACTCGGTGTAGTTAAGGCAATTTACAAAATATTCGAATACTTTTATTTGGAATTAGCATGGTTTTGTCTGCATATTATGCAATATATAATTTTTTTTTACTTTAGGGTTTTATAATATCTAAAAAAACTTTTCTTTTTTTAATATAATTTTCAAAACTTTTTACTACCCATAATAGTGAATCTAAAGAATACTATTTTGGAGTCTTTAGATCAATTCCGCTCGTCGGCATAAACATGAATTTAGTTAAAATCTTTTGAAAAAGTTCCTTAATTTACTACTGATCCTAGTTCTAATCAGTTCTGGTGTATATATTGATGTATAGTTTGATCCCCACCACGTCCCTGGTAGTACCGCGCTCAACTTGTTTCTCCGTGCAGCAGCCTTGTTCATCAAGGTTCGTGTATCAGAGTTATAGAGTTGAGAGAGGGTTGTAACCACTATAAAGTAGCCTCCTCGTCTGTAGTGGCCTTCTCGGCCTTGAGGAGACAAATAACAAAAAAAAAAAAAAAAAAAAAAAAAAAAAATTTAAACTATATATAGTTGTCAAAACACAATATTTTTTGCTACAAACATTTATATTTTATGATACCGCAAAATTTATCTTTTTAATGTTTTTTATCTTTTCATAATTCACAGAACAGATCATACAGACGCTATAATATTTTAAAAGTGCCTTAACTACACCTAGTAGTTATGGCCTTAGAAAAGGAAAGGAGGGGTACTGAAATTATTTTTTCTTTTTCTAGCCATTTCTATCCTTATTTTATTATTATTACTATCTCTATTTATTATTGCCGAACTTAATAGTTTTAATAGTAGTGTCCCTACTATTAAAACTATTAAGTTTTAATAGTAGGGAGCGTGTTTGACACGAAACCCTTGGCAGCCATTGCAACCGAGGTACTGGAGAGAAAGAGCCACAGCTTTGTTTTATAAGAAAACGTGAGCGAACGTGTAACTTATATTGTACGTACATAAACTTCATATTATGTAATGTTAAAACATACTTAAACATATATTAAGTTTTACAGTTTGACTTTTGGTTAAAAATTGCATTGTGTCAATCTGTCTTAATTTTGATCTACAGCATTTATTTCAGTTAAAAACAATTTTTATATAGTTTTAAAATTTCAATGACCAACATGCCAGCATGGCCAAGTGGTTAGCGCACTGAGCTTCTGAACAAAAAAGTCGTGGTTCAAATCCAACCACCTGTCGACCTTTTTTCTTAAATTTTTTAAGATTTTTTAAAATACAAAATACTTGTAAAGTTTTATAAAAGTTATATA